CCTCCCTCCCTGAGCCTGCGCATATCATCTCTAAAGGTGCGACAGGAGCCGACCCAGAGTAAATCCCGATTAAGTGGTCAAACAAGGACTCGGCAACACACACGTTTTCCCCTCACCTCACATTCTTGCTCTCTGGCCGAACAGGGTTCGCTGTCACCTTCAGTATCCGTCTCAGAGTCATCTCCCAGGCTAATCACGCAAGCATACGGGCAAGGTTCCTGCTGGGGTTCGGAAACATACTCATCGTTTCCAATTTCCAAGCTGCTAGAACAGCCTTCGGTACTCAGAGTACTTATAAAAGGGCAGTTGACAGAACTTAACGTTGTAAAAGTCCTCTGACCAGGTTCCGGGCTCTCGCTGATCCTGATACCTAACCAGGGACACTCAGACCGTTTCTGGGAGTAGATCTGTTCTGAACCATCTTTGACCACCGCAGGTGATAACTGCATCTGGCAAGGAGAGTCCGTGCTGCAAATGTCACTCCAGAAGCCTTTTGCTAGGTGTTCTGCCACTTCCCGTTCCACACTACTCCGATCGCTGGAGGCAAGGCTACCATCTTCCCTGGGGCCAGAGTCAGACTTCAAATGTAAATCCTGACTTTCACCAAACATTTTCTCTTCCCGAACATCTGTACCTGACAAAGGCTTTTCTGTTAACACTGCTGTGTTTTGCATTCCAGCAAAACTCACGTCACCGTCACCGTATTGGTCGTAGGTGTGTAAAAGAGACAGAGAATAGAGCCCGTGAGGGGCTGCAGAAGAATTGTGGGGGAAAGGAGTCATTTCTGGCTTTTCTGATGGGCACTGAGGAGCAGGATCTTTCTTCTTGGTTTCTTCATGTTCCATTGCTAATTTACCTTCTTCACATTTTAAAATCACCTGCAGATCTGCACAGTCCTGGATTCCTCCCAGACATTCATTTTCAGGAGTCTCATTTGGCTGGGCAGAAGCATGAACATCTTTGACACTGGATTCCGCACTACGGACTCTGTCAGTTCCAAATGCTTTCTGGAATTTTCTGTATTTGGGACATAGAGATGGCAAAGCCAGAGCAGCATCCTTTTCTAAGCACATGGATTCACAGGTTTGACTGGCACTATCCTGGAGAGGAGATGATACTTTTGCATTTCCTTGATACCTATGCAGTTTCCATTGAGGAGTCTGGACATTTTTATTTTCCAAAAATTCCTCCACATCATCAATTTCTAAATCCCTCTGGTCCAACAGTGAAAACTTAAGGTCTGCTTTCTGACAGTGTGATGGGATGCATTTTTTTCTTAGGCATTCTTGCTGGTCTGCAGTGGAGTCCAAAAACTTAAATTTGAGAAACTGAAAGCAGGATTCCTCAATATCACGTACACCTAAAAATTCCACACACTTGCACACTTCATCCACATTGTCCTTACTTAAAATCAGTTTGGCAGTGTAGGCAAACTGAATTAAAGGTTCAAATCCTTTAACTGTCACCTGTTAACATACAAAATGAAAACAAATGCATCACTTGAAAGTGGTCTAGTGGATAAATAAAAGTAGAAGGGGAATAGAGACATGAAGAACTTACTTGTGATCATTATAAAATGGGCATTTTAATTTGGTAAGTAAAAACATCCTTCTAGAAAATGTAACGCTAATTAGGAGTCTGGAAAAGCATGCCTATCACACCTCATTCGTTGGACCTGCACCCTCCACTTCATAGATTTCACACTTAATGACACATGAATTATGGTCTGACTCACATGAGGTGAAGACATCAAACACTGCCATTATGGGATGTGTTGCTAATTTTTAAAACCAATGCTAACCCATAGTTGGCCCTTATCATTTCATTGGCATTGTGTTATTCGTGCTGACCTCTGCCACAGAACTGACAAGCTGTTGATGCTCCAAACTGTTGATACAAGTTCATGGAAGTATGGATGCTGGGATAAGCTAAACTGTAGACTTAGTACCCGTCACAGAGCAGCCCACACCGACCTGCCATAAACAAGCTCTACATACTTTCTCCAAACGCCTCTTAACTTTAAAGGCTCCACGCTCTTCTAGCTGCAGTTACTAACTACCTAAAAGCCAGCTATTCTAGGGGCACCTGGGTGTCTCACTTAAGCGTCCAATCTAGGCTCAGGTCATGATCTCATGGTTCATGAGTTCAAGCCCCACATCAGGCTAGCTGCTGTCAGTGTGGAGCACACTTCAGATCCTCTGTCCTCCTCTCTCTCTGCTCCTCCCCCGCTGGTTCTCTCTCTCTCAAAATGAATAAATTAAAAAAAAAAAAAAAAGCAAACAATTCTAATAAGAGTTCAGTGTAACCAGCACCTCTCGGTCCTGTGAAAGGGCTCTTGGAGTCAGGATATAACAAGGACAGAAATGTTTAGATGCCTGAGCCCTGCAACAGGCTGGTGGGAAAGAGACAGGTAAAAGCAGGCTCTATAATTGTGAGACCAAATCAATTTTTTTCTACCAATGCACAGTCTCAAGAAAGAAAAAAGAGGAAAGAGAACACTTATGGGGTGTTTTCCTACTTTCCATGAGGCCCTGTCTTATTAAGATGGATGATTTCTCGAACCCTAAACCCACTCAGTTTCTCATCACAGGAAAAGGTCCAAAAGGAGAGAATGAGACACAGCGTGGCCGCTCGGAGCATGACCTCTCCCAATGCCCAACCCGTTGGCTGTGCCCTCCCTGCTTTGGTCATTTTCTCAAAAAGTCACATAACAGTGGGTCAAGTTATTCAACTGCTCAATAAATATTGTTAACTGACACCCAAAACTAACAATTCTATGTATGACATGTCATCATAATTTCTAGGAAAAAAGTTACAGAAATGAGCTCCCCAGGACAAGAAGGGAGACTGTTCTATTTTTAACTTTATCACGTTACCTTTTATAAAGGTAAAGGTAAAAATAAGGTCTACGGAAAGAGATTTAATTAGGTTCAATTCAATGAAAACCAGGGTAGCCTCCAGAAGCATGGCCCTCTCTCCCACCTCTTCTGGCAGAGTGATGCTAAGCTCTGCATCGGCCTGGCCGACGATTCTCGAGTGGAAGTAGCTGCTGCATGCCGCCAGCACAGACCGGTGGGCCCGGTAGCGCTGGCCCTCCACGAGGACGGTGACGTCGCACAGCACGTCCTTCTTCCGCTGGTCGTTGAGGCCAAGCAGGACGTTGGTGCTGTGCACCGAAGATTCATAGGCAAACACCGCGTTCTCACTCAGAGACATTCTGCATAACAAATGGGGTCGGGAAGGCCAGTGAAAGCATGCTTCTCGTCGTCATCAAACCTGCAGAAACACATGTAAGACCTCACTTAAATAAAATCTTGTTAAAAATATTTTTTAAGTTTTTTTTGTGTTTTTTTTGTTTTGTTTTGTTTTGAGAGAGTGGGGGCAGAGGGCAGAGAGAGAGGGAGAGAGAATCCCAAGCAGGCCCCACATGGTCAGTGCAGAGTCTGAAATGGGGCTCAAACTCGCGAACCGTGAAATCATGACCTGAGCCGAAATCAAGAGTAGGATGCTTAACTGACTGGGCCACCCAGGAGCCCCTAAAAATATTTCTTTTAATGACAGTGTCAAATATAAATTAAAAAAGCCATCGCAAAAATAAAAATGAAAACAAAAGTCTCTAGAGAACCTAGATACATTTATTCAATTTATTGCATTTAAAATAGGTTCTTCACGGCAGTTTTTAGTTAGTTTTTCTAATTTTAGGAAAAAGGGTTCTCAGGATGAGGGAGGGAAGAACTCTTTGAACCAACGATTTCATAGCTCTCTGAAAGTGAGACATTTCACATTGAGAAAACACCTACAATGAGCAAACAGACTGGGTCCAGGAAATTTCTGGGTGGCATCCCAATCCTGTTGTTTTATGATGCCAATGGGCGTGTGTGTGTGTATAGTTCACCAGAGGTCACCCTTTGGGATGGGACTGACGGGACCAGGCATGTGGCCTTCCACCATTCTCCATGCTTCATTCCCCAACATTTGACAGCTGGTAGGAGCCTTTAGTGCTTTGTAACAAGGGACACATGGTACATAAGGTAAAGTTCCTCCAACATAAAGAAGAAAATGACTTGAGAAAAAGACAAATTTGTCGAGCCAGATCTTAACAAGTCCTTTTTATATAACAAGTCCTACTTTACACTACAAAATACGGGCAGTAAGTACAACTACATCGTCATTAAGAACATGGTTTACCATACATAGAAACTCTTTTCCCCAAATGTTCAAACATAAGTTATCAAAAATGTATATATATTTAAAATACACACCAACATATAATAACCGCCAAACAATTTTCGATCATGTACACATTACAAGCAAAAAAGGAGAGCCACAACAGACGTATGTCTACCTATTTCAGTCATGTACGACTGTTCTTATATACTACATGTTATAAAACACACAGAGACTGAAAGTCAGATTAGAAGAGTTCTAGTATTTTCTTCCAGCCACCAGTGGCCAGTGGTGAGTACCCCCAAGGTGTGTGTGTGGACCCCACTGTGGCGTGATCAGGCTGAGAAGCTCCTCACAGGCATCATATCATCCCTATCATTCGCTTTTTGTCCTTCTGAACTCACTCACTGCCTGAGACAACAAGGTCCTCAAAAGTTCAGTGACTGAATAAACGTTATTGTTTCCAGATTCGCTCTACTCCACAAACAAAAACAAAAGGACAAATGAGAACTACCAAAGGTCAGACACACCAGGCCCAGATCACAGGTGACTTCTGCCTCAGAGACAGGCTGTTCTAGTCACAAACACATGAAATGCCATCTATAAATTCTATTCTACTTATGTCTATCTACTTATGTGTCTACTTATGTGTCTCAATTTAGCTAAAATGGGAAGTTCCTCAGAAGTAGTCCATGAAAATGAAATGTCCCATTATGTGGTTAAACTCTACCCAAGGTTAAGGATCACAACCTATCATTTACTGATTTGGCATACCACATAAAATCATGGCAACTTCAAAATTACGTACTAGAACTAACTCGACTTTTGGGTTGTGCCCATTTGAAAGAGTAGTATATTCCCTTCAGCAATTGGTCTTAATATTTCAGTTATCAACACAAGGGAATTACTGTTAAGAATAGCAAGGAAGAACTATCAAAGGAACTATGCACCGTGTGTGTGTGTGTGTGTGTTACAGACCACTCCACCTTCTCTGTACAACTTCCCCAGCCAAGCTGGACTCAAGTTTGCCTCACCACATGCCTGCACCTAAGTCCCCAACCTCTTTATTCTTTCCTGGCATCTGCCTTGCAAACCCTTAAAACTAGACTAATCTTACTTTTACATCTCGTCATTCTGCCGAACACAGCACAGCCAGACAAAACTGTAAAAACACGTAGGCTGTTGTCACTATAAATTAATGGTGTGCAATTTCAGGGTCTTAGCACGGCTTATCCATTCTTTTGTGTGCCCCAATGTTCCGTTGTCCCCAAGAACCTCCCAAGTAGCCACTTCTCTCTTCAGTTAGTGTCTCTCCCAGCAGACAACTATAACTGGGATACAATCTCAGAAAACATTACCCTCCCACCCACCTCCACAGGCTCCCTTCTCCTGCTGAAAACAACCCCTTTAAAGTCTGCCCTTGACCTCATACCATCCTTGCCTCTCTGGAACCCAGTCCCTTTTCTTAACACCCTCTCTCACTTAGCTCCAAACTCTGTCTTTATGCTGGCTTCTTCCCATTAGACTTTGTTCATAAATATGTTTAAGTCTCTTGAGAAACTGTCCTAGAAACAGTTAACAACTAACGGCAAGTATTTGTTATGCTCTCATTCTGCACCAGGCACCGGGCTGAGGTGCTGACACAGTTTACCTCATCTACCCCTCACCACAGCCCTCTGACATGGATGCTCCTGTATCGTCCCAACCGTACAGATGAGGAAACTGAGGCTCAGGGAGAAGTATCTCGACCACGGTCAAAAGACCAATCAGATAAAGAACGCGGATCCATAGCAAGCACCTGACTATTCCATATCTGTCTCCAGTTAGTATCTGCTGAAACACACAGTACAGAAAGTCACTGCGGTCCTGTGGGGAGCCAGGCCAGGTATTACTAAAAGACTGTGCGTGAGAATAGGGAAAAGGGCTTTCCCAGAAAGCCAGGAGCAAATGAACTGGACTTGAACTTCAAAAAGAGGACTCTGGACTGTTTAACACTGCAGCCTTGCAACCTAAATGTTCTCTGGCTCCCAAGGAAACTACGGCAGAAACAGGTTCCATACCTTCACTCTGGAGCTGCTGTCAGCCCACATGTGTGTCTGTGTGACCCTCACTCCTCACCTCAAATTCCACGAAGAATTGATTCTTGGCTTAACCCTCCTGTTTAGGCCGTGTGGGGTGACAGATCACTTCCTAAGTTCACAGCCAGCTTATAGATTGGCCGTGAGATGCGGATTTGGGTGCTAGGCCAACCCCAAGCCCCGCCAGCTGCAGCCACGAGAAGCCAGAGAACCAGGAAGTACAACAGCCACTCAGGGGGACCCCTCTAAGAAGGGTCTCACTAGCGCGGACTGGGCACACGCACACCACGACTGCTCTTGCTCCCACCAGAACCCTGAAACTCACCCTGACACCTCCGTCAGCCCCTCTATCCAATCTCTTACCGAGACCCGGTACCTCTGAACACTGAAACCCGCTTCTCTTCATCTGCGCTGCCATAATGCCAGTCCAAGCCACCGCTGGCTCTCGTCTTGACAAATGCCGCCCAGCCTTCTATAGTAGCTTACAAATGCATGTATGTGCAAATACAGGTATACAAAATAAAAAGCGAAATAAAGTTTCAGACATCAGCATTTTATCCTTACTAGTGCAAAGTACTCTAATTTCTACTCTGTTCTATTAAAAAGAAAAACTCCAGTCGTGATCCACTCAATTCCAAGAACCACTAACGGACCATCATCTCACGTATGGGAAACACATGTCCAGTGGCTAACACACAGAGTCTAAAATCACACACTGTCGGGGTTCAAATCCCAGCTCTGGCATTTACTAGCCATGTGACCTCTGGGCAAGCTGCTCAACCTTGCTGGGTCTTAGTTTCCCCAACTGTAAAACACGTACAGCAGCAGCACCTCACTGGGTTGTCATGAGGTTTACATGGACAGTGAGGATAAAGGGCTTAGCAGAGTGCCTGGCCCATAGTAAACAAATACTCAAGTACCAACTGCTCTTAGTAATAACAACAACAAAATCTGCATCCCCTCAAGCCCCTCTAGATCCCCTTCAATTTATACTCTCGCACAAAGTGACTTCTTCCTTGCCAAAACTCTACAATGTCTTCCCAGTTTCTTGCGATCAACTCTAAATCCTGAGCCTGTCCTCCAGACCTTACCCTACTAATACAACCTTATCTTAAGCCTTTGTCTCCCTCTTTTGCTGTTCTCCAGCCTCACCCTCCTTCCTTCCAGCATAAGGCACTAAGCGCCTTCCAACCTCAGGGCCTCTGAGCATGCTGTGCCCGCCCCCTGCACTTTTCCTACTCCTTAGCTGGCTAACTCCTCACCTTTTAGGTCTCAGCTTAAATGTCAAAACCTCGTCTGACTTGTTTTCTGCCCTAATTCAGGCACATAACATAACCGTACCTGACTCAATGCAGGAACTTGCTTCTGAATGAATGACTTCATGTATTTACTCAAATCCAAAACCTAGATCATCTATATTTTCCTCCAAACACAGTGCAATCAGCTATACTAGTATATATGAAAACAATGCCACTGAGCCAAGCACTCAGAGAAAAGTCCTTGGTTAGCTTTTCCAGAATCAGGAGGAGCAAAAGGGAGCCTCCACCTCTGGGAGCTGGAAATGTGTCTACAAGACAACTGGCCAGAGAAGAGCAAGGCTTGGCAACTATAAACACAGCCAATACAATGGACTTGTATGCACAGACACCATGACCTTGGTCTCATTAGTATGGGGTACTAGACACAGTTATTCTGAAAAATCAATTTTCCTAATTCTGAAAACCATCCAAGTGGTCAGTAATCCATCTGCACCCAATAACATAATGACTAAATCAGGTAAAAGTGGCACACATACTTCTAACATTTGTCAGTGACTAACACTTCTCAAACCTACAAGGTAAGACATAAACACCCCCCAGGGAACCTTCCAGACCTAAAATTCTATTAGTTGGTTAACACCAAATTTAGATTCCTATGTTACATCTGAATTTTTCTATATTCTTGGAAATATATGCTATTGTTATCATTCAA